TTTCGCTACTTTAGTTATACGCTCGCCACCATTGCTGTTGTTGTTTACGTCGTTCTTGTTGTTGCACATGTAGTTTGCGGTAGCTCAGTGCTTTGCGCTGCACTGCACTGATTTATGCTGGCGACTTAAACAGTTATTAATGCATTTTGTTGCCACACTTTTGTTGCGCTGTTCACTTGTTTGCCGCAAATGCGCTTCCTTCTGCTGTGCGCCGCTTGCTTGCCGTTTGTTGAATTTGCGGTTGCTTTTGTTGTTGGCGCTGATGTTGGTGTTGGCCCTGCGGCCGTTAGCCGTTAAATGTAACTGAACTGCGTAGCGCCTTCTGACATGCCGTCACTTTGCGGTTGCTCCACGTCCAGCGTGGCGCGTCGCAGCGCGTCACGGCCTGGCACTGGCGCTGGCGCTTTAAATTGTCAGCGGGATTGCCAGCGTAGTTCACCAGTTTACCAGTTTTGATTGTTTTCAATTTTTCCTCTACTACAACACCATTAATTCGTTCATTTAAACTGCTTGCCACACTGCGCGAATCTGCTCAGTTGGTTTGCGCGCGCGCGCGCTCGTTTGTGTGAATCTGTGTGTGTGTGTTTTGTGGTTATTTTTTGTTGTGCCGCTTCGTCGCGCATCGCCTGCAGTTGGCAATTTCCATGCATTGTCCAGCCATTTGGTTTCACTTAATATCTTGCCTTCCTTGCCTTGCCACCACATTTGCTTTCTTGCCGCCCTGCTTCAAGTCCGTTACGTCAACCGCAGTCAAATCGTTGCAATTGTTTCTGCTACCTCCCTCCTTCGCCACGGTCCTGCACCATCCACCAAATGGCAAACCATAACTCTCTGTGCGCCCTGCTTGAGTTGTCTTTTTCTTTCTTCTGCAATTTGGAGTTTTTACGATTGCATAAGTTTCGTGGCAGCAGCAGTTTTGGAATTCGTGCAACATGTCAACAGTGGTGTATACCGTTAGTTTTGTTAAGCGTACACACAAGAAAATCGCAGATGATATCTCTATTTGGTGCATAGTGTGTATGTGGCATCTCTGCTGTCCTGGGAATTCTGCTAAATATGTGTCCACGTAGTTATGCAACATTTTGTCGACGTTTTTAGTGGCATCTGGCGTTTTGCGACAATTAATTCAATGTAGCTATAAGTTAGCTCCTTGAACGCTGAAATACCTACAAATTTGAGAGTATTTAAGTATATAAACTACACTTGTACCTAGACATGTAATAAATCAGAGTCGAAAAAGGCTCATAACTTAAAATGCGTAAGTACGAGTTAGGTCTCCGTTGTCCTCTTGCATCTATCGCAGGTAATATGCGAGTGCGAGATCCTTCTAGTCGAATGCAGAATGCCGGAGTTCCACTGAACTCTCAGTAAGGTTCATTTGGCCGCAATCATGGAAGTTCTTACTAACATTGTTTAAAAGCATACATGCGGTAAGGCTGAAAATTTTGTCGGACGCTTACTGTCAAAATTGTATAAAGGAAGTGAGGTGGAAACATACAGGCATTTCCTCATCCGTTGCCCAGCTTATACCAGACTGAGATTTAAAACCGGAGTCAGCCGCCTTAACAAATTTTTGGCTGACTCAAAGCGCTTCGTCGATTTTTGAGTGCCTTTCCGATCAGTACTTAGGGATATTTAGGTAACACAATGGACCGGCGTTCTCAGCTGTCCAAGTAAGATCGGTTTTTCGTTTGACCTTTTAACCTAACCTAATCTAACCTCATTCTCAGTGCATGTATTTCAGCCTATGGGTGACTATTTTTATACCCTAAACAGGGTATATTAAATTTGCCAAGAAGTTTGTAAAACCTAGAAGGAAACGTCGGAGACCCCAAATATATATACATAAATGATCAGAATGACGAGCTGAGTTGATTTAGTCATGTCTGTCTGCCCATCTGTCTGTTGTTTTTATTGTTATATTGTTCGTACTTCTTATAAGCTTTATGAAATAATTGAAACCAACTTCTAAATAATTGATCGGACTTTTTGTTTTTTAAACAGTAAACAGTAGACAGTAGGATGAGCGATGTGTAGGCCTTTGGACTAATATTTCCTAAATGATCCAACCAACTTTTTTTTCACCAACAAAATTATTCGCCATAGCAAGGTCCGGACTATAAAGTGGTTAGATAAGATTATTCTAACCAAGCTCCCGGAGCTTCTAGCGAATTACTGTAGATGAGAGTGGTCTGGCGTTGTACTAACGGAACCCAATTCTTCTACTATTGGCGAAAACAGGCAGTTTCTGAGGATTTCGTTCTTCATACGGTCCAATTGATGGCATTTAAAGCAGCCTGACAACCCTGTTTATGTAGAGTAGAAACATAATAGTTTCACTTTACTTTTCAAACTCTTTTTAAACACATAAAATTTACTTTTTCTTTCGTTTATTTGGTTTTTCTTTGAAATTCTCAAACGACTAATGATTTTTTTATTTAAAAATAAAAATTGAAGTTTTAAAACTCCTAGACTTGACTATTTCGAGCATTTTAAACAAATAAAATTTACTTTTTTCGTTCGATTTATTCTTTTTTCTTTGAAATTCTCAAACGATTCATGATTTTTAGTTATTTATTGTACTAAAGTATTTCGCAGAAAGAGTAGGTTTTTCGGCATTTAATAGAAGAAAAAAATTGAAGTTGTGGGTAAAAATCTTTGGGAACACTTCGCAAAGTTCGCGATAACCTTGAAACATTGGAACATAATTTCTGAGCGAAAATTTTGTTTATTTTCACGCTCTTTTACTTAAAGCTCAGACTAGAGTTAAAGCAAGGGAGCTGGACACTAACAAGTATCTGCTTCTCTCTACGTGGCAATCATAGTAAGGTTGTATGTGATATCATTGCGAAATTGCATATCCTTCAAATTACCATCGCTACTGGCACTCCTGCGCTCGTTTAAACAACTCTAAACAACGCCATAAAACATTGAAAAAGGAGGGTCGTGATCGATTGTTTTTTTTGTAATTGTGACGAAAGTGTGGCAAGTAGAAATAGGCAATAAATAAGCGCAAGGACGTATGGCTATATTATATCCCTAATACATCCCTTTAAAAATGCTAATATGTGTATTTATATATCTAAGACCTTTAAGCTTGTAAATATACGCATATATAACTTATTTAAGTTAAGGTGGTTCTTAAACAATGAAAAAAGAACTCAAACCTCAAACGTCTTAAATTTCAAGCTCAAACGTTCTATATCCTACCCTCAAAGCCGGTTTAACTATCGGAAAAATATTGGTCTCTATTCAAAGCGCGTAAGGTGTCTCGCAGCGAGGATAAGTTTCAGGTTAGCTTTTGGAGAGTTCATTAGCAAAAAAACTACACACATTTGTGTTGTATAAAAGTATTTTCGATATTTAGAAGCAAAAATCGATATGTGATATTTTCGACTGTTGTATTACCCTACCTCCATAATTGGTGGCTTAGGTAACACCCTAAAGCATTTACAACATTTTATAGTACGCCCTATAATCTGTAAAAAAATAAAATATTCGCTATATTTGGCATCACCCTAATACAACATTTTTTCCTTGTCTTTGCTCATCCTTGCTGCCGCAATTACTTTAAAAGTGATACCTTTTCCTACGATTTGTGACATTTCATTCATTTTTAATAGACTCACAAACAGTTTTATGACACGAAAAGCAACAAAAGAAAAAAGTACCGTTAAGTGGAAAAAAGTTGTAAATACTTAACTGCTGCCACTGTTTACTTCACTACTTTGCTTTACTACTTTTTCACAATACGCTGGAACTTTGTCAATTGTTGTCCTTTGCTTTTGGTTCTTATTGCATTTTTCTCCGTTTTTTTTTTTTTTTTAAATAGGTATAACTGTTTTTCTTGTTGTTTTCTGCTGTTTTTACACTTGTAATTGCGGAGAGTGTGAGGCAAAGTAACTGCTCAACAACAATGCATTTATTTTTTATGAGTTGAAAACAGTGCGACTCCTCGCCTTTCCGGGCATTATCGTGTCTTCTTTGCCTCCGTTGCTTGCTTCTACGCGACACACCTACTTTTCTGCTTACCATTTCAGCGGACCAAGCGCTTTACTGCCCGCATATTATATCATATTTATTAAATTTCTCGCAAAATGACAGCGACTGTGTGGCAGCTGCCGCGTTCAGCGCTGCCAACTTCCGTACATAATTTGTTGTTGTTGTGCTAATGCACTTTTGATGATGGCCAGCATTGTTGCCAAAATATTTACAGCGCGCTGTGTGGGTGACGCGCCTGTGTGTATGCTATATTTAAAGAAAAAACTTGAAGAAGTCTCAATAACGAGAGGAAGTAGATGCATTTCTGAATAAAAGACATTTTTTAATGGCGCAGATTGTTTTTGTTATGTTTTTAAATTTTTAATGGCAGTAGTTTGCTTTAAAAATTATAATGTTGCAAGCAGGTAGGAAGCGTATAAATTAATTGCGGTGAAATGAAGTTGTCTTTGCGAAAAAAAAATTGTGGGCTCGAGTAGTTGAAGGAAGTTGAGAATGTCAAATTTTTATAATTTTGAATATTCCTTAAAAAAAAATTTGAAAAAACTGTGCTCTAAGTGGAAAGTCATGCAAGGAATACAGTATTTGGCTATAAAGAAGCGCCAAAACTTAAGTAAAAAATAATTGAAATTTGTAACATTTCGGCACTTAAAAAAACTTAGAAAAAGTTTATTTTATTAGAAGAGTTAATTTGAATACAGATCTAAAAAATCTCCAGTGTTTCATTAAAATCACGTTACTCATACGCCATGGTGGGTCTCAACTCACATACTTTATATGACATTTTATAAGCAAAATTCTTGTAGATTACTAACAGTGGCGCAAAAATTATTAAAATATGCATATATACATATACACATACACATTTAATGATTCTATTAAATTTACTGTAAAATATATATTTATTGTACAATACTTCTAAAATATTTGCATTAAATTTTATTGTTTTAAATAAAATTTGTCTTACTAATATTGGCATATTTCTCTCTCTTTTCTTGCAGGACGTTTTGCACAAAATCTGCCATCCCCATGGCCAGGTGCTGCGCATTGTCATTTTCAAGAAGAATGGCGTGCAGGCTATGGTGGAATTTGATAGTCTTGAGGCGGCAACAAGAGCACGTGAGAATTTAAATGGTGCCGATATATATTCGGGCTGCTGCACTTTGAAAATTGATTATGCTAAGGTGAGTGGCAGTGTTGTGCAAAAAATATATAAGATATAAATAAATATAATATAATAAATAAACGGAGAGTTAGAAGCAACTATAATAAGAACTAGGAAAAAATGATAAAAAGGCAAAAACCAAGAATAAGGTTTACAAATAACAAAAATATATTAATAAAAATTATCGCACAAAATCAGACTGAACTTTTTTTTATACTTGATAATTTTTATATATTATTACGAAATGTAACTTAAAAAAGTAATAAAAAGTTTTTCTACATTTTATTGTTTTTAATTTAATTTTTTCTGTTATTATTTTTTTTATATAAACTAATAAATATTGTTTTTATTTTCCTTTTTTCCTTGCAGCCAGAGAAATTGAATGTTTACAAAAATGAACCAGACACCAGCTGGGACTATACACTTACCGCCGGTAAGTTTCACGAAAATTTTATTATTTATTTTTATTGCTTACAAAATTTTACACAATAAAAAATAAAAACATAGGAAACGAGTAAATAATAAAACCATGTGTGGGTGAAAAAAGGCATAGCAGGAGATTGCAGAAATTAAAAAAATGGCAACAGTTTCCAAAAAAAAAAAACCATAATAATAATTATAATAAAAAAAGCACAATAAAACAAAAACATAAATAAGAAATACAAAATTTAAAGAAGTTTAAATTAAAAAACCAACAAAAAATAATAATAACTAAAGATATATATAATAACAAGAGATAAAATCAAAAATAAATTAAAAATTTTTATTAAATATTTCGAGTTATTATAAAAAAAGAAGTTTTATTATTAAAATGAAAACTAAAATATTAAACAAAAAAAATTTATTTAAAAAAATATATAATTATTTAAAAAAAAATTTAAAATTATTTTAAAAAAATTTAAAATTTAAATTTTAAAACATAACCATTTAAACAATAAAATAAAAATAAAAATCAAAAAATTTTGTGAAAAATATAACAAAATAAAAAAAACTTATCTGTAATTAAAAAAGTTACTTAATTAAAAACAATAAAAATAAAAAAAATTTACTTTCAAAAATAAATATTTCAATATAGTAATAGACAAAGCAACAATAACAAAATATTAAAAAGTAACAAACAAAAAAAAACATATACTTATTTAATTAAAAAATAATTAGTTAAAAAATAACATAAATAAATTTACTTTAAAAAATAAACAAATAGTTAAATAATAATTGAAAATAAATAAATCTATAAAAAAGTAATAGTATTTTAAAACAATAAAATATTGTAAAAATTAAAGAATGTAAAAAATAAATTAATGTAAAAAAAATGTATCAAATGAGAATACATTTTTCAAAAATTAATATTTAAAACATTATTATCTGAATTTCTGCAATTTTTTACTTATGCATTTTTTTACTACCCACACGCTTCACCTTACACTTGCTTATCGATACTCACACACATACTTACAAATATGTACACCCACACAACACTATCACACATAAATACATATGTCCACACACCTACACCCTTTATTCAACCACACAACGCTGGTAAATAGGACTAGACTCCATTGTTAATTCTGTAAACGTTCGAGATTTCTTGGATTTGAAGAAACATTTTATTATACATTTTTGTTGCTATTTTTTAGTAAAATATATTAAAAAAAACATTCACACTTAGTAAAGTAGACTTACACTCACATGACTCTTATAACTTTAAATTAATACAAAAAAACGATCTTATAGTGCCTACAAATATGCGTGTATATAGCTATTTATTCTATACCGTTATACTTATGTATTGTATATATACATAATTTCACACATATTAGTACATATTTAATTTTTTTCGCTTTTTAAAGCTTGTTTTTTTATTTTTTTTTGTGAAAAAAACTGCATTAATATTGTAATGCTACAGTCTGTGTCCACTATACTATGATCGATGTCTTAAAATTAAAACAAAAATAATAATTCTACATGCAGAAATGAATTTGAGTGCTCCAACCAAATATAAACATTATACATACATAGATATTTTTAATATTAAAAAAAAAAGTATTTTAAAAAGTTAAAAAAAAAAAACTTCATTAATATTACAAAGATACAGTCTATATCCTCCACCCTATGATATCAAAAACTAGCAAAATGGAACAAAATTATTAATTCTCAATTTAAAAATGAATTTCACCATTTGTCGATATATGTATAACATAAACTGCATGTTGCCATATTTTTCCAAAAACATAAATATTTTTTTAATGTAAAAAAGCATATAGACTTTATTAAAATATTTAAAGGTAATACATTTAAAAATATTTGAAAAATATTATATTAAAATAATTTAAGTTAGTAGAGCCCTTTATCCATATATAACTTAAAATGATGCTAGTATATTTTTCAAAAAACAAAAACATTTATTTAACTTTAAAAACCGTATTTTACCATAACTTTTTTTTAATTAGGAAAAACTTTAATTTCTGACAATAGCAATAGTATTTATTGTTACTTTTCTTTTGATAATTTTTTTTGGAAAAAATTTTCAAACTTTTTTTTTTGGAAATAAATTAAAACAAAAACAAAATAGAAGAAACAAAAAACCAAAAAAATTTTTTTTTTCTAATTTTAAAACGTTTTTTATTCTTTTGTAAAATTAAAACTTAAAAAAAAAAAAGAAAAAAAAAGATTAAAAAGTAAATCGAGGGTTGAAACATGAAACATTTTAACATTTCTCTTTTGTAAATTGAGTAAAACGTTTATTGATCCAAAAAACTAAATTTCCTGCAATAAATAATAGTCCTTTATACAAAACAAAAGTTTAAAAGAAAAAATTTAAAAGTATTTACTTTCACGTTTGTAACCACTATTAAAATATAATACTAAAAATAAAGCCAAAACTGCGCTCAAAAGCTTGCTTAAACATTTATATCCAGCATATACATTGGAAAAAAAATATATATATAACTATCTTAAATAAAGATTTTAACTATATTGCACACAGACAAACAACAAAGAATCCTTATCTTCCTTTGATTTATATGTATATAAGTATGTATATGTGTACAAAATATAAGCAAAAAGAATAAAGCACACTAAAGGCAATACACAAGAGAAAACAACAGCCATTTATTAACAACAACAATAATATACACTTTTGTCAAAGGTCCTGTGAAAATATTGCCAAGCACAAAGAGGCTTAATAACTCATTGAAACAAAAGCGTTTACATTGTCATAAATCGTCTGTGACTACTCGTACAACAACAAAATTTCGTGGTAGTAAACAATAATTAGACACTTACAATATAAAACAATGGCACTTTTACGACATACATATATTGAACTCTCAGCAAACAAAAATTGATATTCGACACAAGTTTATAGTTATTATTAGAGCTTTAGGGACAATGAGCTAGAAGCAGCGATTAAAACGAGAAAGAAACTAGTTTGTGAGAGAAGACACTGAGAAGACACCATTTTTGCTATGAAACTTCGAAGAGTAATACACCTCATCACCTTTAAATTCCTTTTTTTTACTTTTGCAACAGATATTGCCATCTTTGCTACACATGAGAACCCAAGCGCCTATCGCGGACTCTTAACGAAAATATCGGTTACTCTGCGAACAATGTTATTGAAATTCAAAGAGAATCGTTTCCCGATTATAATGTACCTTTGTATCAATAATATTGAAAAAATCGGCTGAATACCAGCCCTAACTGGCTTATAGCCTACATTAAGATTTTTGAACTTACGCTTGGGTTTAAGCTCTATATATGGTTAATATCAAAGTTATCTTATTGAAATTCAGTGTGCGACTCTCTCTTATAACAGTGTGCCATTGTGCTTAATATAGATGAAATCGGGTCAATACTCCCACTAGCAGCCATATACCTATTAGAAGAATTTTCAAATTTCCGGTTGATTTTTATACTGTACCTATATATTGGTTAATAGGTGAGTTATCGTAATGAAATTTCGAGAGCACTTCTCTCTACTAACAATGTGTACTTGCGCCTAAAATGGATAAAATCGGTTCAGTATTTCGCCTAGCCACCATATACCTTTTATAAGGATTTTCAAACTTCCGGTTGACTATATACCATACATGTATTTATAGCGTTCAAAAATTAAGATATTCAAATGTAAATAAGTGTTGCACCCCTTTCAGATAGTAATGCGGTTTGGTACTAAAAATTATGAAAATCGGTTTAGCACTGCTCTTAGCACCCGCATACCTGTTATAATGTTTTTTCTATCTCCGAGTCAGTATATCTTATATATCACTAAATTAGGGAGATATAATTAAAAAGTTTATTGCAAAACATTACTTTAACTGTAAGCGGCCTAAATTTCCGAAATTGGCTATAAACATACGACGACTTACTTCCGCTAACGATTACTTTGTCGGCTTTATTTGCCAAATGACAACAAAAAACCAGCGTAATTAAAACGAATATAATTTCCGCCCAACGAACGTGCCACACTACCGCAAACATTGTGTGTACATATGTATATGTGGTATAATTACTTCAGTATATACATACATATGTTTGTTTGTGTGCATTGCCACAATTTTAATTTTTATTAAAGCGATAAATGTGTGAATGTGGCTATTAGTGTCAACAATTCACTAATATGCCTGCCACGCCGCGCGCCAACCAAAACAACAACATATTTGCCACACATTTTCCATTCACTTTATGGCCAAAAAAGTAACGCGCCTCGCCGCACGCCCACATTGGCGCTACTAACGCCTTCGAGCTGCACGTGCCGCGCTGCGTTTCGTTTTCATTCTCGCTCTCCGCCACCGCCATCGGTTTGTCAACAGCATCTCTGTCCATTCCATGCGTTGTCAGCAGCGCTCGTTTGGTGAAATGTGAAATGTGTTGAATAAAAATTGCACTCTCTTGCCGCGCGGCGTGGTGACGCGTTGCAACAGCGCGACAAATTAGATGACAATTTAAATGTTGACTGGCGAGAAGTGTTGTTGCCGCTGCTGCTGCTGTCGCCCGGCCACTTTGTTGCTGTGTATGCGCTTTGATAGCGTTGACACTCTTTTTATTGCTGGAATTAAAAATTTCAACGCCACGAGCGTCGGGGAAGTAGCAGTCGTGCGCGCGCGGTCTTTGTTCTGGCAGACAAACCGTCGCCGGTATAGACGCTGAGCCGGCGCTCCATTGTTTTGTTTGTGTGTGGCGCTCGCTGACACCTTCATTTAAATTTACGTTTAGACGCTGTAATGAGTGCGCCGAGTTAGTTTTATCACGTATGTGCTGGTGGTGTTGTTGTTGTTGCGTAGGTGGGCGGTATCCGGCACCTGTTAATCAGCCGTGTTCTTAAAATGTTCAGCTTTTTATGAACGCCCACGCGATTTCTTCTCAGAAATGTTTAGTGAGCGCAATTTCTATTTTTACTCTTCATTCACTTTTTTATGTTTGCCATTTATC